GACAGGTGTAGATGGGTGGAGATGGGTAGAGACTGTTGGAGACTGTTGGAGATGGGTGGAGACTGTTGGAGACTGTTGGAGACTGTTGGAGACAGTTGGAGACAGTTGGAGACGGGTTGAGACGCTTGGAGACTGTTGGAGACGGGTGGGGCTGTTGGAGACTGTTGGAGACTGTTGGAGACGGGTGAAGACTGTTGGAGACGGGTGGGGCTGTTGGAGACGGGTGGAGACTGTTGGAGACGGGTGGAGACTGTTGGAGACGGGTGGAGACTGTTGGAGGTGAATCAGTCTGATCACTAACTGCAGTTTGTTTCCACATGGATTGTTTCTACAGTCTTAGTCAGTTAAAAATAAACGAACGTCCTCTGGTGTCCAACAGAGAGACGAAGACAAAGATGAAGATAAATGTGGAGGATAAATCTCTGAGTCCTGACAGGAAGTCACAGAGGACAGACAATAAATACAACTCGACTTAATAAAACTGAGACAAACACTGGACAGTTGACATTTCTATATTTGTGTCTGTGTGTAAATATTTCATTTGTTTCTGTTTTGAAAATTAAATTTATTGATTAATTAATTCAGTCTCACTGCAGACTCATCAAACTCTGCAGTCTCAATGTGACATCTTCACAATTATACAAAATAAATACAAACATAAAGAAGACAGTGACAACTCATTATTATTATTTAATATATATCATTATTCTATCTGCAGTCAGTATCTCACCAGAGTTGAGTTTAATGTTAGAAATGTTCAGTTACACTGACTGATGCTAACCTGCATATGTTGGACAATTAGCATCATTAGCATTAATAATCAGCTATATAGACAATATCTCAGCAGCTGATTGGACAATATCGGAGTGGTTTTAGGGGTTACTGAAAATAAAAAGTACAACCATTTAAAGAGGAAGTGGTCATATTTCAGCTCCCATTGGGCTGATTAATTTTGAGGTTATTTATATGATTAATACATAACTGCAGCAGTCAATGACAAACACTGTCATCAGCTCAATGACACTGAGCTTTCTTTATTCTAACATTTAGGTATTAATCATATAAATAGCCTCAGTGACTCAAACTCAGCCACTGGGAGTTCCTTATGAACGTCATTAAACTGTTAACAATAAATCAATAATAATAATATTCTGTATCATTCAAACCAATAACATTCATTCTTTCCTCACATGAACGTCTGATGATCATAAATATTTCCTGCTGTCAGTGAACTCATCATCTCATTCAGTGTGAGAGCTGCTCCAGCTCTAACGTTCAGCTCTGTGCTCTGGTCCAGGTCTTTGTTACAGTGAATCCTTTGCAGACTGACACCATTAACCCTCAGTCCTCTGCAGGGACGGGCTCCTGCGAGGGGGGACGGACCGGATGAAGGGCTTCAGAGGACGAGTCCTTCACAGCGGAGATGAACACGGAGCGAGTTCTGCATTCAGAAGCTGTCTCCTGTTTCCTGTCGGCGTCCGATAACACGAGGACCAGCCGGCATGAAGGAGGATGTCAGTATGTGCACGCCGTCCTCAGCAGGGCCCAAACCCAACAGGAAGTCAGCCATTTTGAATTTAGTGATTATTTTTGGTGATTTGTTGTATTTTAACAAACTCCTACAGAACCGATCGGATCATCTTCAGATTTGATCAGTGCGATCTAAAGACCATTACGATTAAAAGTTGTGATATTTGTGAGTTGTCATTTTTGGATGTTGCCATGGAAATTAGGTAAATGTTAATGTGAACTGTTTTACAGTTGATGGCTGTAGCTGAACATCCTCCTAAATTCATTAAACTCAGCACACACGTCACAAGTGACATAATTTCACACTTGATATCGGTCTTGTGCATGGGTGTGGCAAAATGGCTCCACAGCGCCCCCTAGAAAACCTCAATGAAACAGCCCCGGTAGCATGTCCAGACTTACAACAAGACCTCTTGGAGTCTGGAAGTGTCAGACTCAAGTCAAGAGTTGAGTTGTTCAATCAGCACTTTAACTCCACATATAGAAACAATGTTCAGCCGTCCACATACTTTTGTCAACTTAGTGTATCTTAAACATTCCCGTCCATGAGCAGAAGGTGATTCCAGCTGTGTGGTCAGTATTGATTTTCTCTTTGTTAAAAAGAACAGAAGCTGACAGTAACCACGGCGACGTCTTCATCCTGTCACTGCTGGTGCTGAGGCAGAACAATTGTATTCCACTCATTCTTCTTCTCCTGCTCCCCCACACATCTGCAGGCAGCACAAAGTGAGTTATAGTGAGTTATAAGCAGGAATCTATAAGCTGCCGCCGCTGACAAATGATCCAGTTTGATTTCCTCAGGGGGGGGGTAGAACTGAATGTGTTTAAATTTTTATCACATAACCAGCTTGTATTTGCTCCGAGTGAGGAAGATGATAAAGGGTGAGAGCTGACCAATCACAGCGAGCAGAGAGCGAGTTTAATGGAAAACGTCCTCAGAATCTGTTTAATATTGCTCAGTTTCTGAGAGACATCGCTGTGGCTTTATGGTGTGAGGCCTGGATGGATGGTAAAAGTTGTATGAAGGTGTTGGACAGAACAAACATTGTGATTTATTCATTGTGTGAGCCTCTGGGGAACCAGACAGCGCCACAATTTCACATTTCTCTGGTAGAAATACAGAAAGAGTTGCGTCACATTTGTGCTTCTGCTGAGCTGCAGTTTCACTATGTTCAGTACATCAGAGATGTGGTTAACGGAGAGAAATAACAAACAGAACATCACAATGTGTGTGTGCTAGAGAGATTCAGAGGAGTCTATTATCAGTGAATAACGGACTCCCTGTTGTCCATTAACTCCTGATAATGGAAACCTATCCATCCATTATGTTTATTTCATTATCTTACAGCAGTGTGAGTTGTTTTGTATCTTACTTTATTACACTTTGTTTAATTACTGGAAGTACATTACGGCGTATTAAACTGTTTGTTTGTTTTGTTACATCATGTTACATTGTGCTGCATTACTATATATTTTGTTACATTTAATTACATTACGTCATACCAAACTGTGTTACGTTGTGTTTTGTTACATGATGTGTTGTTAAAGCAGACCCTCCCCCACTGACACTGACTCGTATCCACCCACCCTGAACATATGGCTGACATTAATGCACATTATATCTGTCACAATGCAAACATCCTTCATGTTGCACAGACTGCACAGCTCTTCATTCATTTATTCAAATAACATATTGTCTCTTTTTATTGTCTCTCTCTAGCTTATTTTTAATGCACCACACACTACTTGGCACTAAAACCCATTCTGATATCATGTTTTTTATTTTATTTTGGTATTTTATATTACATTTAGTCATTATGTTACTTTATATTTGTTACATTTTAATACATTACGTTGTGTTTTGTATCATTGTTGTATTGTATTATATTTTGTTACATGTGCTGTTAAGGCAAATATATCATGTTTTCTACATGTTATTGTGGTATTTTATGTCACATTTAGTGAGATTACGATGCGTTTAATTTCAGTCCTGCAGTGGAAAAGCAGATTTTTAGTCATTTGAAGTGTCTCTTCCTCCGGCAGCGGACACTGCAGTGCTCATTGGGCAGGTTGTTTATCTGGAAGCAAACAAGAGGCAGTGACAGTGTTTTCAGTGGCAGTGAGGAGTGTTTCTACCTGCAGCCAAAAGAAAAAGAAATGACCCGATGCGCACACACAGCCCTCTGCAGCGGCTGGAACCGGCGGTGTGAGCAGCAGATTGCAGAGGAAAAAATAAAAAGCCGCTAATAAGATGAGAATGTGTTTATTTGTCACGCTGTGCGGCTCCACGCTCCCAGAGGCTCACAGAGCGGGAACCAATATGAGCTCAGAGAACTCATGAATGCTCCACACAGAAAGCCTTTTATTTATTGTATTCCTGCTCAGTCTGAGTCCAGCAGGGTCTCCACAGATCTGTAGTCCTGCAGGATGTGACCTGAGCCACAGAGACACCTTTACTCTCACAGATCTGTGATAAAGGCGCTGCAGGTGATTAACGAGGGAAACCACAACGAGCTGCCTTTACTAATGAGTTAAAACAGAACATATATATTAAATACAGACAGCGGGATTGTTTCAGGACACAGCTGATGACTTCATTAATCTCAGAGGTTTCATTCTGTCAGACAGTGAGGATGTCTGTGCTACAGTGTGAGAATAATGACAGTAAAAACAGGAAACAGAAATGTGAAGAATACCAATGAAGCTGTGAGATACCCACGTCCTGTTCAGGGATGCTACGAAGCAGCCGCAGGTTAACCTTGGAAGTCGGACGTTTGTGAGCTTCGTTAATTGAAGGAGGCGGCTCGTTCCTCTGATGGCACCCAGCATACAGATACCTGTCTCACTGCTAACATGCTAACGGTTTATATCAGTGGAAGCGCTGCCGACTGTCATCTTACATCCATCCCTGAAGAGCAGAGGAAGCTGGTTAGCACAGTAGCTTTAAGTAGTAGACAGCTAGCTAGTGTTTGAGTAACGTGTTATGATGTAATGTGTTACTGTAATCCTGTTTTGATGCTAACTAATGATGTAACTCCATTAATTAAAAAATTAATTAAGAGTTTAAAATTAAATTACACAATAATTATTTTTATTTTTAACAAGAAATTTAAACAAGCTTGTTGCCTTTGTTGTTCCTGATAGTGACAACTGCAGGGTGTCGTTACGATGTTTACAACCCAACAACCTCTCAGTTCAGACAATAATATAATAATAATATTAATAATAATATTAATAATAATATTAATAATGTATTATTAATATTAATGGATTTCCTTCTTTCTAATCCATGTTAAAGTCTTTAGTTTCAGTTCTGAACTCTTTAAAGCTCGGTGCGACCTCCTCCTCTCTAACCTCTCCTCCGCCGTAAAAACTCTCAGCTTTCAGAGGGAAATAAATTCCCAGGGAGGTAATTACCTGCTGCAGCTCTAATCGGCCGAATTACCCAGAGTTCCCCTGGTTATTTGTAGGGATGGAAGGAGGGAGTGTTTCTTTCCTTTCTCTGGTTCTGCTGATCACCACACTGTTTTATTAACTGCACATTAAAGTACAGAGGAGGCTTACGGCCTGGTTTTAATGAAATACATCTGTTCAGAGCTTGATTCAGAGGCGTGATGGGAAACGGAGGGCATAAAGCTGCAGGAAGATTTAAGATAAGATATTTTTACACTCCAAGCTGGACGTGGACAGAAGGATATGGAAGCTCATTTCTGCCAATGTGACAGACAAAAATGGATTCTGTAAGTCAGAATAATGAGAAACCTTCTCAAAATAGGGACTTAGTATCAATATATTGAGATAATAAGTAATTATTGCGAAATAATAAATTAATATTTAGAGAAAGCTTCTAATTATAATCACAGAATCTTTTATCTTTTATTTCTGTCACATTGGCAGAAATGTGCTTCCATAGAAGAACACACACTTTGTTTGTCATTAAAAGGATATTTCAGTGTTCAGGGACACGTTTCCAAAAACATCATTTGGACACGAGAACGAGGCTCAGACTGACAGAACGAGACCTCCTTCTAGGGAAGAAGCATTTTCAGAAAGTAGAAGTTGAAGAGCTAAAAACTAAAATGAAAAATGTTTTTTTCTTAAAGGCTGAGAAAAGTGAACAGAGTTTGGTTGGAGGCTGAGAGGAGCTGCTGTCAGACACACTGAAGAATACACATAAATAATGAAAGCTCAGGATTCTGCAGTGTGTTGAGTTTTTTTTTGTTTGAATCTCTTCAAGGCCAAACAGCAGCATCCTTGCGAGCCGCTGCAGACCCCAGGGGCTGATGGGAAAGAGCGGGAGGGAGAGGGGGGGGTCACTTCAGACCTTTCTTTATAAAAATCGACTGAGGCTTCGCTTTCTTGTTGTCGAGGTTTTTCTCCGTCAGCAGAGACACACCCGTCGGGGGAGAACTTCCTCTCTGGAGCTCCTCGCTCTCTGTGTGAAGACTCAGTGTGTCGCTCGGCCTTCTGGGTAAAAAAAAAGTCATTGTGTGAGTGACATCAAACCGAGCAACGTCCCTGAGCTGATCTGAATGCAGCGCAGACAGAGCGAGCAGCAGCAGGAGCTTCAGTTTGGACCAAAACTGACTGAAAACACCGACATTAATAATAAAACTTCAGTTATAGAATATAAACAAATGCAACATGTGGCTCCACAAAAACACAAAGATTTAAAATTCATAATGAGAAGGTGAAGTTACAGGAAGAGAAGTTAGAACAGATTCATTTTAAAAACAGAAATCCTGAATAAATATGAATGAAACTAACTTATATATTCTGACAAATGGTGTTAATGTATAAATTATGTTTTGGTACGTTGGCGGTGAATTCACTTTTAATGGTCACATCTGATGAACAAATACAGGCTAAAAGGAGCTTAATGCAACATTATACAGTCTGTTTACAGGGAGGTCTACGGTCTGTTTACAGGGAGGTCTACGGTCTGTTTACAGGGAGAAAACAGACCCAGAGTGAGAAGACGAGTCTGAATAATGGATTGGAAACAAAATGGCCTCTCGGTGTGAGCGTCTCTCCAGGGAAACGAGCGGCTGAAGAGGTCGGTCGATATCTTCTGTTTGTGTCAGAGAGGTGTGAACGTTTCAGGTCAGGGTCTCCTGAGAGGCTGAATGTGCCAGAGAAGAAGAGGAAGAAGAGGAAGAAGAGGATCCATATTGATGAGGACTTTTACATTGATGTTGGAGGAAGAGGAAGTGTGAGGCCTTCTGGGTAAAAACCTTCAGAAGAGACGGTTTAAAGAGACAAAAACACTCAAGGACTGTTAATCAGACACATCGACCAGAGAAATCCGCCCTCAGAATACACTCTCAGCTCTCCATATTCTCTGTAACACTTCTCTGTAAAATTCCACCTTAATAACTCCCAGTCTCTGTTTATTAGTGGAAATATGATACATGGTGGATATAACTTTATATGTTACCAGGATGTGTTTAGCCTAGCTTAGCACAAAGACTGGCAGCAGGGGGAAACTGCTAGCATCAGTGGTACTCTATGTTTATGACACACTCCAACATTACAGCAAGCATATCGCACATAATTATAATCACCATAATAATCATCATTAAATCAGTTAACTAATGACCCTTCCTAAGTCCCGCCCCTTTTTGCTCTGTGCTCCAATCACAGTTGAGCAAGCCTCACTACCTAACTACCTAACTCAAAATGTATGTAAATTAGTGAGCTAGCTAGCTGATCTGTGTCAATCATTGTAACTACATAGCTAATGATTGATGTAGATTAGCTAACGATAACGATTCATGTACTGCAGATTAGTTAGCTAAAAAAAACAAAACAAACCACAACAAGACACCGTTGACAAAACCAGTAACTGAACCCAGCAGATGATAAATAAATAAATAAATCATAAACTACAAACTGACCAGAAACAAAACTCAGAGCTTTCCAACAATCACCAACTCTGTTTAATTCACAGACGCAGTAATTAACCACAAACAGGCCGTAATATCAGTCTGCACCAGACTCCAGAGACAAAAACACGTATTTTAGTAACATCGTAACTTCATTCAAAGTGGACAGAAACAGAATGAAACTCACCAGAAACATGTTTATCAGTCTGTATATAATTTCTGTCTGAACTGTCAGTATCATGAATATCAGAGTTAAACATGAGCTTTTATTTTAGTTCAGTATAAAAGCCAAACAGGAGACAAAAGCCTTTCGGGGAGGTGATGACTTTAAAATGAAAAGGTGGACGCAGGAGCTGCTGGAAGCTGAAGGATGAGGTCTGTTCGGACTCTAAGGACTGTGTGTGGTTTCTGATTGGCTCTTTGAGTGCTCTTATTATTATAAATCAGAAATCCTCAAACACTCCACATTTCAATTTAATGGATAAAGAAACACGATGAAAGGATTCGTACATATTTCAACTGTTGAATTACTGAGTGAATCATTTTCTCTCTGTTGTGCAGCATTTTGTCACTTTAACATAAATATTAAATATGAATATAAAGAAATAAAAGGTACGTGACCTCTGCGTCCTCAGGCCTTCTGAATGAAACAAACACTGAATGTGAATGCAGAGTTTGAGCCTGCAGGGACATTGAACATTACTGAGAGATTTATGCACTTTAATTACTTTTGTGTCTGTGAAATGACGCCCCAACCTCTTTGATACCTCTGCATGTGTGTGTGCTCATTCCCAGCCGGCCTCACTTATAATTGATAATGTGAGACTAACGAGCTGTAATTGTACCTGTAGGGAAAGGTTGCTATCACAGCGCTGATGTTTAATGTGACAGTAACTGAATAAAAGTGTTCAGACGTGTCCTTTTATTTATTAACAACTGCTGTATTATAATTAGTATAAATATAATTATGAGAAATGAGAAGTAACATAAAATATAAAAACATACGTCGTTTGTTGATCACGTCAGCTGTAATATCTTGATGCTAATTTCTGTTAGCCTCTCTATGGGAAAGGCTATTATATATTAGCATTGAGCTAGCTGCATGGTTGTAACAACTACATCAGGAGGAGGTTGTGGTTGTATTGTATTCTGTATTTATATTTTCCAGCATTTGTAGAAAACATTTCTTTATCTTACCTTTATTTAACCAGATCAGTCAATTAAGAACCAATTATTTCTACAATGACGACCTTTGTCCACACGAGTGAGTAACCTTACTTTTTATTGACTACCGTCACCTCAGGTGAGCGTGGTCGTTCCCACCACTGAGGTATTTTTTACACCTCAGTATTTCTAAAACCCTGCATACACTAAAAACAGCTTAATGCTAAAAGAACAGCTAAGAGTACTGGTACCTTTGTGGTCCACTTCAGGCCCTGCAGAGATCTAAACGGGTTCCAGAGATTATTTATACATTATTTCAATACAGGAACCTGATTCTGACTCTGGAGGAATATTTTAAAAACAAGAGACGAAGAACTGAAGGAACATTTTGGTTGTTGTCCAAATCTGGACCAATGGGACGACGTGGCGAGGACATTGTCCTTCCTGTAGCGCCACCATGAGGACAAACCGCTCTGTGAGACTCTGGATGAGATGCTGTGAATCCACAATTTAATCTGATCGACCTTTGACCTGTGAGGTACAGAGACTGCCTCGTGTCAACCTAATTACGGAGAGCGAGACGGAGGAAGTGACCTACCAATCACAGGGATTGATCATTTGTGTTCGTAGACACAAACAGAGCAGCTTTTATTAGCCCGTTAGCCTGTTAGCACACACTGCAGAGCAGAAACATTTGTGACAGAAGGACATAAATCAGACTGAAATATCTGATTGAACAGAAGTTATGAGTTGGGTTTGTTTCCAGATGAAGAATGAGTGTCTGCAGGGAGGAAGAGAAACATGGGAAGATTAATGGAAGTGATACCTGCTGTTAAAATATGATCTGTATCCATATACGTTAATAAACGGTCTGATCTTTGTGTTCAATCAGCTCCAGACTGCTTTTAAATCATCAGTTTGTGAGCTCAGAAAAGCTTTATAAACTTTGTGAAACACTATTGTGTGACATGTGGAGCAGATGGGGATTGAACCCTTAATTAATCCCATAAACTTAGCTGGACCGACCTTCTTTTTAATAATGAACCTTTACAGGCAGAAAAGTAAACAGGGAAGTGGATGATAAAACCAATCAGTGGTCATCAATAACTATTTGTGCAGTTTTATATATAACGACGCTGATTATTGATCAGTGACGTAACAGGGTTTGTGTTGCTGGCTGGAAACAGGGCTGCAGGCTCCTTACAGGCTGAAACAATGTGGTTTTTCTTATTTTATGGTATTTAAATTGGCAAGAGCTTCAAATTAGGGGTCAGCTTCCACCCAAAAGGGGGCGGGGCTTGACACCAGGCCAAAGTATGGATTGGCTGCTGTCCATTTGTGCTGGTTGTCACCGTGGTAACCACCCTGGAAGCTACAGTAACCAACTGCTGAGAACATCTTTAATTGCAGTCCCTAAAAACCCTAAAAAACCCAGTCCGGCATTGAAGCTGTCGGAACACACACACACACACACACACACACACACACACACACAAGGTCAGCGGTCAGAGAGCGGCGGCTGGAGGCGGGAGTTTCTCACTCTGCTCCTAATCACTGAACAAAAAGAAGGAGCTCAGATCAATTCGTGTGTGTGTGTGTGTGTGTGTGTGTGTGGTGTGTTACATTTATACAGGAAGGTCCCTGTGTGTGCACTGAGACATCAATCAATTACGTTTGATTGATGGTCAGGTGCACAGCTAACAGGAGACGTTAACAGTGTGTGTGTGTTTGTGTGTTGTTGTGTGTGTGTGTGTGTTTGAGGCTGGTCGATCACATACAATCATGTTGAGTCTTTACAGGAACTCATCAGTTCTGCAGTTTCTTCTTTTTGTCTCGTTTAATAGTAACCAATCAAACATCTGGCAGCAGTTTCTGTCTCATTATATCCCGATCAATTACGAGGTATCTTAAATACGTAGTCCCTCTCCTAATGCTGAACAACTGTTTTGTAGGTATGATCACGTCAAATAACCGTTTAATGCTAGCTGTTTTTCCCCCCCCTCTACCGCTAAGCTTTAGCTAAGTCTATCCAGTCTGAAGCCACATTTTTACCATCCACGTGTTTAGATCTTTGGTGCTTTTTAACTCTAGATTTGAAACCGGATGAAGGGATTTTAGTCATCGGACGTCTGGATTCTTAAGTTACAGAGAAACAAGCGAGCTAACGTTTAAGCAGCAGTCTCGGCTCGCACCCCTCCGGGACGTTCCTTTGGTCTGTTCCAAACAGCGTGGGAGAAGCAGTGATTGTTAAGGATTTTAATCATAAAAAATGAAAGATTGTTTAATTCAGACGGCAGAGAGAGAAACCTCTGATATTATACGTCTGTTCTGTGCCAGATTAAGAGCACCAAAATATCCAATACACAGATAAAGAATAAACTATATATATTACTATATATATAGTGTATAATATTATACAAATTAAAGAAATAA